CCACCTTGTATAAAGCATCAACGTCTTGAAGTAGCATTTTTTGGTTTTTTGAAAAATCTACAAAGGCAAATTCTGATATGACTTTCTGAAAACCCCATTCTACTGCTATCCTTAGAACTTTCATAGCAGAATTGAAACTCTGCTGATGGGCAGGTAAATCTTCCATTCTGCCATGAAATGGGGTAAATAGCACATCACTCAGCCCATATCCTTGATCACCAAATAAAACAAATCGTCTTGTGTCAAAACATGTCTTTTGCACTAATTCTTCAGAGATACCTGACTCCCTAAATATTCTGGCATCATGCCTTCTTCCCGGATATGCGCCTTTCAAACTAACAATAATTCCATCAGGACAAATTATTGATTGGAATTTTATGCAGTGATACCTTTTGTGTCCTGAATAATACTCTTCTTGATTTTCAGAGGGTCGACAAATTTTCCTTGCTGTACCATCGATGAAACCCCAACAATTATTCATAGGTGCTCCTTTATTATGAATAGCCTACAAAAAGCACATTTCAGCATTTTATGAACCAACCATCACTTCAACTATATTACACAATACAATACCTGTGCATAATACTCCAACTTCTCCCTATTAAACCACTGCAATGAATTCAAATTGTTGAGAAGTACAGCATGCTCCTCCATAATCACACTTATCAATTTATTTATGATTTGTGACAAAGACTGAGTTGACAAGTGGAACATAGGGACCATATCACACAATCTGTTTGGATATGCCAGCCGTCTTAGTAGAATGCACAATGCTGTTAAACCTGAAAGAAGATAAATGGAACTTATACTGTGGTTTTCATGTTGATAGAATTCCAGCCTCTGGCAAGTGTTGTTTGAGTCAGAGGATGGAGTTCGATTGAAATGATGAACATATAGCAATAAATATTTAAACAAAATCATACCATCCACTTTATTACGTGTGATAGTGACAATTTCTGAAGGTATTCGTAAAACAGCCATCAGCCTATGAAGGTCAGACCTCTCAAATCGAAAATTTAGTCTTATTACTTCATCTGGCAAGTTTTCCAAGTTGAATTGTGCTGTATGAGTAATGCCTCTATCAATAAAATATTATGGAGGATGATATGTTCTATTTCCTCCTCATCTGCTCCTGCCAATATAACTGCTTCCAATTCAGCTTCCATTTTACAATCTCACTTCTCACACCTTTGGTAGAATTTCAACTACGAACCACCTATATTATGCAAGCAAAAACTGGAGGAAAAGTGAGGTTAAGATAAACACCATCAAAGCGAAACTGTCAAAATACGTTACATGTGCAATATCTCTAATTCCACTGTACTTATTTAGGTTCACCTAAATAATGCATACCCTTATTTAGGTCCATATGCAATATCTCTCTAATGTATTTCATCCTTGAAGAAGTTTGAGAGGTACCCTTATTAATCGTCAGCAGATTTAAAAAAGGTAACATAATTTTCATTCCTGTCAAATCATAAAACATTTACACTGAAGAAAGAACGTGCTATCCTTACGCGAACACGGTTCACATATATCAAGTGTCAAGCGCCATTTTTTGTAAGTGCGGTAGCTAGACATGCGACGTTGCCGGATCCTCACATAAATCGGAGTTTGTCATACAATTTATAGAGGGCATTAATGCTATATCGAACATTTTATAATGCCATTGTGTGTTATTTATGGTGACACATGCGACGTTGCCGGCTCCTCACAAAATCTGAGTTTGTCATACAATTTTATAGAGGGCATTAATGCTATATCGAAGATTTTATAAGGCCATTGTGTGCTATTGATGTGACACATGCGACGTTGCCGGCTCCTCACATAAATCTGAGTTTGTCATAAAATTTTATAGAGGGCATTATGCTATATCGAAGATTTTATAATGCCATTGTGTGTTATTTATGGTGACACATGCGACGTTGCCGGCTCCTCACATAAATCTGAGTTTGTCATACAATTTATAGAGGGCATTAATGCTATATCGAAGATTTTATAATGCCATTGTGTGCTATTAATGGTGACACATGCGACATTAAAATGAAAAATGAATGAATAATGAAAAATGAAATATAAAAAATGAAATATGAAGAATGAAAAATGAAAAACGAAAAATGAAACACGAAAAACCAAAACGAAAACGAAAAACGGACAACGGAAAACGGACAACGGACAACGGAAAACGGAAACGGAAACGGAAACGAAAAATGAAAACTTATAAAAGATGACAGGTACCAGATACCAGATACCAGATACCAGAAACCAGATACCAGATACCAGACACCAGTTACCAGACACCAGACACCGGATACCAGATACCAGACACCAGATACCAAACACCAGACACCAGATACCAGAAACCAGATACCAGATCCACATACCAGATACTAGATACCAGATACTAGACACCGGATACCAGATACCAGAAACCAGATACCAGACACCAGACACCAGATACCAGATACCAGATACTAGATACCAGACACCAGATACCAGACACCAGATACCAGATAGCAGATACCAGAAACGAGATACCAGATACCAGACACCAGATACCAGATAAAAAGATAACAGATACCAAATACCAGATACCAGATACCACACACCAGATACCAGACACCACATACGAGATACCAGATACCAGATACCAGACACCAGATACCAGATACCAGATACCAGACACCAGATACCAGACACCAGATACCAGACACCAGATACCAGATACCAGACACCAGACACCAGACACCAGATATCAGATATCAGATACCAGATACTAGACACCAGATACCAGATACCAGATCCACATACCAGATACCAGATACCAGACACCAGATACTAGATACCAGACACCAGACACCAGGCACCAGATACCAGATACCAGACACCAGATACCAGACACCAGATAGCAGATACCAGAACGAGATACCAGATACCAAATAAATAGATAACAGATACCAAATACCAAATACCAGATACCAGACACCAGATACCAGACACCACATACGAGATACCAGATACCAGACACCAGATACCAGATACCAGACACCAGATACCAGACACCAGATACCAGAAACCAGACACCGGATACCAGACACCAGATATCAGATACCAAATACCAAGTACCAGATACCAGATACCAGATACCTGATACCTGATACCAGACACCAGATACCAGACACCAGACACTAGATACGAGACACCAGATACCAGACACCAGATACTAGACACCAGACACCAGACACCAGATACCAGATACCACACACCAGATACCAGACACCAGATATCAGATACCAGACACCAGATACCAGATAAAGAGATAACAGATACCAAATACCAGATTCCAGATACCACACACCAGACACCAGATACCAGACACCAGATACCAGACACCAGACACCAGATACCAGACATCAGATACCAGATACCAGACATCGGATACCAGATACCAGACACCAGATACCAGATACCTGATACCAGATACCTGATACCAGATACCAGATAAAGAGATAACAGATACCAAATACCAGATACCAGACACCAGATACCAGATACCAGACATCAGATACCAGACACCGGATACCAGATACCAGATACCAGACACCAGATACCAAATACCAGATACCAGATACCAGATCAAAGATGCCAAAGGATAAAAATGATTAGAGATAGGGATAAAGTTATCGCTAGCATTGCATTAGCATACCAGCAACTGCGCTACGTGAGGTTTTAAATAAAGACATCAACGTGCAATATTTTGCATAGCGTTAGCGTGCCAGCAACTGCGCTAGTTTCCCCAATATTAATTAACGTCATTATGACGTACTTATCAAGCTGGTAATATTATAATGATAATATTATAATTATAGCATTCTTTGATTGATGGGCATTAGTTAAGAAATTGATTGACAAGGATAACTGTTATCAGGAATCGAAATACTTAGAACAAAGGAAGCTATAGATTAAGATATTTTAATCCATATTCATTCCACGTTTATATAACGTTACCTTCAAGTGTCTATCATCAAAATATAGACAAAGAGGGGGTGGAACAGACTATTTTCAAACTCTGTACAGATTGTTGTTATATACTCAGATGCGAACAGTAGTGCCAGTTCAAAAGGTTTCAACATGTTCGTTTTCTACCACAGTAAGTTTGTATTTTCCCTTATAAGTTGTAACTGATTTGATTCTGTATTCTGGATAGAAAGAAGGGCGATCAGCTCAGCCAAGGTCACAGCACTTAGGCCTCATTGACCTCCCCCCCCCCCGATGGCATTAAATATTTTAAAAAAATGTAGTGACAGATGATTTTTTAATATTTAATAAATATATTTTGTATATGTTTATAAAATATTTATTATAGATATTTGTACTATATATAATTTATATATTTTTGCGATATTTTTTCCAAATAGAAAATATATCAGGAAATATTTTTAAATATCAATTTTATATTTTGATGAGATATCTAATATTTTTCGTAAATATGTATGAATTTTCAAACATTAATCTGAAACATATTTTCAGTGTATATAGAAAATTCTCCATTGGTTATTTTAGCAAAATCTGTAGAATGTTATATAAAATCGGGTTTATAAAGAAAATTCATTCTAGATATAATGGTTTAATTTGTTAGAAAATATTATTAAAAAACATTCTAAGCCTCTTCTGCATTTTGCAAGTCTATTCCTGTGAAAAAAAACTTACGAATTATGAAGTATTATTGAATACATAAGCTGCTTTCTAGTGTATTTATGGGAATATAGAATGCCGTGGAACAATACTGGTGTTGAGCACTAATGAGTTACTTCGAGTAGCTCAACTGGGTCACTGAAAAGCAGCTCTATAATGCTCCTAAAATGACCCCACATTTTCTGCCTATGATAGTTCGAGATTTGGTTAATTTTCAAGAAAATTGGTATGCCATTTTAGATATCTTGATGAAAAATGTCCATCATGGGCACAAGTTGGTCCTTTGACTAGCTTTTAAAAGAAAGGTTTTTGAAAATAGAACACTTACTGATTTTGTTGAAATATGACTTTTTTCAGCAACGGGGTTAATTTAGCCATAACTATAACATTTTGTGATTTTATATTATAATTCAAGGGACAAAAATATAGTATTTTCGACTGTTTTTAAAATAGTTACAGCTGATCTGCCACCTACTACGACAAAATTAGTAATGATAATAGGGATATTTAAAAAAAAAACATGTTTGATGTATCTCGATCAAGTTGCGATTATATGACTATTCATTGAGATGTTATGAATATAATTTTCTTATCCATTCTCAGATAAATCCACCAATACCAAATAACTGTTACACTTCAATGCTAGTTATTAATATTCTTGTGAATACCTTTATACTCAACTGGCACAATAATGTTTACTAGACAGATAAATTAAGCTATGTAATTATCGAAAAGCTTACCATTTTCCTTTTCCCACAAAAAAACTACTCAAATAATGTACCACTTGGAGGTACACAGGAAGCACGCTACCATAGTGAAAGGCAAAATGGATGTTGGTAAAGCGGTGGTGCGCAGGCCGGCTTGCTATTATAGCATTGGTCGCTCGGGGTCACACGCACATGCGCCGTAGCCGCAAATACTTGATGAATATTTTCTAAATATTGGAGATTTAATATTTTCCATTGATTGAAAAGTAAATATTAAATCAATTTTATAAATAAAATATTGTATTTAAAATATTTAAAAGATATTGAATAAATATTTAATAAAAATATTACATTTCAAATATTTCTTAAATATTTGTGTAAGAAAACAAATATTTATGTAAGATAAAAATGTTTAATGAATATTTCGTGCTATCGGGGCCCCTTGTATGTCTTCCCAGGTGTCACTCAAGGCTAGATTGTCAGCCACCCCAAACTACTGAAAAGGTTGTGTTACGATTTAGCGAAGTTTTCCTTATATTATAACCATAGAAGGCCATCGTTATCTCAGAACGGATAATTCTTAGCTGAAAGGGTCCTCTCGCAATGCCTATGGCAAACTGTTATCTGGACATAGAAATATAACATTTTTCTACTTTCTCACCAGGATTGCCAAGAAATTCTTTAGCGAATAGGCAGCCCGACTTTCTTTCCACTTGTAACTGACTGTAAAAGGTGGATAAAATGCCTATAACGATGATTTGTTTTACAACTTTCTGTCTAGGTCGGGTGATAACTGTTCCATTGGTGGTAACAACAATTGTTGGGTTTCAGAAGAGACACTGAGATCGGCCCATCAAAAGTACTATTATGACATCTAAAAAATCAGATTCTTGAGAATGTATTGTCAAAATAGTCACAACCTTCTTGACATTGATTGAGGATAACTTTAATATAGCTTCAGTTTTAACTTTGTTATTGAAAGAGTTTTGCTAATGATGGAATCGCGCTTTGATCTTTCTTTCTACTACGCACAACGTATTTATTAACGAGAAAAATATTAGTTGATGATAATTGTACTTTGCATATCTGTTTGATGTAAAATATTTTCATGTTACAGCAATAACATTAGTGGGATTAACGTTGCTGCAGTTTCATTCAGCTGCAGAACCTGAAGCTGGTGGTCTCCAGGAATCGTCTCTTGTGGTTTCACATGTGGTATGTTAAAAAAACGCATATAATTGTCACGAATGTAACTGATTCTATAATTCAGTAAGAAGATATTTTGTGTGTGCTGTTTCATATAGGATATGCTATCAGAATTTAGATATTAAAATAGTTGTGCCCACTACTACTGTGCACACACTCTAAGGAGTTTTTGATGGCTGTGATAAATAAAATTGCATATGTAAAAACAGCCCTTGTTAAAGACTAAAGTTTGCTGATAAAGTCGTAACCCATTTGTGAGTCACCGTATGTGAACTATGTAAATAACATTTTTATAAGCAATGATTGTTCCATAACCAATTAGTCGTCAGTTAACATCAAATTATGGATAAATGTGATTATTAAGTTAAGTAACATAAATGACAAAGGATGCGGAAATAAGATCAATGATTAAATAAGTTTAAAAATATGAATGATGAATTACATAAATATTAAACTGCAAGTAATGAAATCCTTATCAGACACTTAATACTTATCAAGTAATGAAAATTTCATTTTATTTAACAATAGTTACCATTCAATCATCCGATTGTTATTATTCTTCTTAATCTATCTAGAAAGCAATAAATGAAATATAAAAATAATTCACAACGCTGTAATATAGGTGAATTTTTATAAATAAATAACAGTCTTAGAGGAAAAGTTTGATATGTTTACTCATACACTGCGTCGTTTATATTGCATGTGGCTTTGGTTCAAAATAAATTTTCATGTTATCTATAACATTAATACTATTTTTTGACTTATCAGTTTCCGTTGTTTCCTGTATATCTACATATATGTATTAAATACACACGTAGTTTATCTTCTACTATCCAAATATTCAAAGTAATTCTGACTTTTAGCTTTTCAGACATGGAAACAGGACTCCAGAATTGACAGAGTTGTATCCTAAAGACCCATACCTGAATGAGCGTTATTATCCATATGGACGAGGTCAACTTACTAAGGTATGGAGTCACTTATGTCATTTTATGGCATTATGTTACACTACCTACAGTTTTGTTTGTTTTAATGAAAATGCATCAATTTTGATATTTTTTAGTTCTCGTATCCAATGAAATCAATCACTTTTTCAGCTGCTTACCTCAGTATACGTACGTTATCGTATAAAATGCAGATAAAATAATGTCATCAAGTGCGATGGAGTGGAAAAGCAAAGGTTTTTGTTACTACACCTCAATGTTAAGAATGTTTTTAGCTTGCAAAACTAGATTAATGTCAATCGGTATTTGTATACAGCGGACCATGAAGTAGATGTCACTTGATACACCTACATAATTAACTTTGACCTATTCTGGGTCACCTCCATGAATAATAATATTTTTATTACCGTTGTTTCTTTTGCTACATCATTTTTACCTCTCTCGCCATCTGAAAATTTCGGAAATAAATTATTATGTTTTTGAATATTGTATGTACAATACATCTGGAAAAAACATGTCACTCATTTCTGATGCCCTATCTGTTTAACCTGCCTGTCCACTTATCCTTGGTCCCGCTGTAACTTTAGAAAGTACTCTTCGGATTTTGATAAAATTTCGACACAAAGTTACAGCTACACATAACATAGAAAAAATTGTCGTTTTTATAATCGATGGTGTAGCTACAGGCAAAAAAGACGAGACAAATAAATTGTCTAAAATTTCGTTGTTTGACATTTTCGATACTCCTGATTATTTTCAAAACAAAATGCATGTCCGGCAGTTGTAGGGTGTGAAGGAGGGTATATCTCAATTTGTTGGCGTAGGTGTATTTACACGCTTCCAACCCCAGTAATTCTAGAAGTACATAATACCATAGATTGCTCTTTCCATCCTACGTTTAATCAATTTAATGTACCTAGGATCGGTAGTAGGATTAGTGCCACGTTCAAGTGTAGTAGGCCAAGAACCAATATCTTAGTTAAGTCGCCCATTCATGTAATGTGTAGGAACTGTAACAGAATATCTACTTATTGTGACATTTTTATTTGCACGTTGGAGGATCTTATGAGTCAAGCTGTCATTCACCTTTAATTGTTTTTCTTTTTTTTTCTTTCTTTTTTTGTCTTTTGAATTTATAATTCACTTGCACGTTGAATAAGCTTGTGGATCAAGCTGTTATACACATTTAACTTGTTTTTCGTAGTTAAACATGTAATAATTTAGAACCTCTCTTAATTACCCTGTAAATGGTTAGCTGTTGGGTAATAAAGCTATTATTATTATTATATTATTATTATTATTATTATTATTATTATCATCATTATTATTATTATTACATACCTATTAGACATTTCGTACATGGATTGACACTTGAATGATGGGAAATATCGTCAGCTTACTGAAGCTTACTTCTTGAGTCCAGTGCATTTTCTCACTTATACCAGTTACGGATAAAATCCTTTAGTTCAAATTTTCTTATATTCTAATTCTGTATTCGAAAAAAATGTCAATCGCTAATAACTTCGTTTTTGGGGTGTTTGGTTTTTGCAGTTACCTGGCGGTATTTTCAACATATGTGTCAACGCAACATTAACGAATGTGGGTATACTTGCATCAGAGCTGGACCGACTGGTGGTTGGCAGCGCTGCCAGAACTACCGTTTGATCCCTCAACTACCGTTCATTTGTCGCACAAATTAGAACATAAACACCTTATTTAAACGTGCAGGCCTACCTTGAGAAGTGCAAACTCAAGCTAATGGGCGGCACATTTTCAATTTCCCACGCTACAGCAATTATTCAGACCTGTTCTTACTATTCCTTGTGGTCGCAATAATATCGACACACTCATTTAGTTGACTCTGCACTTCCCAGGAAGCGCCTTCATCAGTTTACAAATGAGTATGTTCAGCACAAGTTGACCCTCTAAGAGAAAAGTTAGTTTCGAACATGTATAACAGAGAAATTAAACGGACCAAGTCAGTCGAACAGGTCCATACAATTAGTCCATAGACATTCTCTCCCTACTTTACCGGTAGTCTATCTGGTAACGCCGTCTCTTCCCGATACCTATGGCCTCCCACATGCGGCAACGCATCAGTAATGCTGGGAGTAGAAGCAGACGGGTATCGAAAACATTCTGTTTGAGGGCAAATGTACCTGCCAATCGATGATGTGTGAAATATGTCTAATAGCTGTTGGGAATAAATATACTGATATAAAAAAATTGAGATATACCCTCCCCCAACCCCAACCATATAGAGTAATTCCCTGATTTTTTTTTAAAATTGATCAGGATTCTCTGAAACGTCAAAAAACGAAGTTTGAGCGATTTGTCTTTATGTTTTCGTTTGGCCTTTTGCCCGCCACCGTTACACAACACCGATTTTCAAAAACCGCATCTCTTTTTCGCCTTGGGTAAAAATTTCATCCATATCCGAACAGTACTTTTCAAAGTTATATAGTGAGGATTAGCGGATTAGACCGACTAAATGAGCGACTCTGAGCCACTGAATCGATTTTAAAAACCATAAGCTCTTTCGTCTTTGGCATAGTCGTAAACTTCTGTCAAAATTTCATTAAAACCATATCGTAGTTTCCAAGTTCTAGCGGCATCCAGGGTTAGCAGACAGACAGGGAAATAGGCCGGTTGAAATGAGTGTGTCATGTACATAATACTTCATTTAGAAATTTTTCGCGAAGTGTTTATATATTTTTTGTTTGAAAAACTCTCTCGTTTCCTTAAAATACTTGAAATATTCAACCAGGCCCGGTTAATGGTAATTTCATCTTGCAGAATGTATCAAAGTTTGGTGTTTTTTTTTATTTGCAAGATCACTCACCGAGAATAAAACCATACTTTCCATCAAAAATTACACGTTCTGAGTTCTGTGAATTGACTGATGCATCGTTTCGCTTTTTTCGTTTATCTCCATTACTAATCTTTGAATCGTAAACATTACAGAAGAAGTTACGATTCTATCATATGCAATGTATTACTAAGACGCTTCAATACTTTGAAATCGTTGGGAAACTCAATGTGGAAGGTTTTCCGTACCGTTCAATAGTGAGCGACTGTTTGTATTTATTATAGGCTGGAAAACGGAAAGAATTTAACATCGGATCCACCTTGAGGAGCAGATATAGGAACTTTCTAGGAGATTTTTATCTACCAGATATGGTCGAAGCACTATCTACAGATTACAATAGGACAAAAATGTCGCTGGAATTGGTTCTAGCGTCACTGTTCACACCTAACAAGGATCAGATGTTCGAAAATGGACTTACTGGCAACCTGTGCCTTATACTACTTACCAAAGAATAAGGATCCGGTGAGTATATTCCTTGAATTTGAACAATTGCGTGTATGTGTACATATACGTATCTACTTATGTGGAAAGCTTAGGGTGTACCATACATACCATACTAGACTTCCGATTATAAAAAGCGGTCCAGCGATATAGCGCCTTTTATGTTAAATAGAAGCAGCCATGGGATAGCTTTGTTAGACAACAGTTTGCTGTTGGCTACCAGATTTGTTTGCTTGAGGAATAAATACTATACATCTACTGCCGACTGCGGTTCTATGGTTATTTTTTTTTGCTCACTAGGTACATTCTACAAATAAACATGAAATACTTTTTCGAATTACAGATCTTACTTGGTGTCCTGTGCCCTCACTACCTCGAACTATACAACGAAGCAGCGTATTCTGCAGAAGTACAAAGTGAATTTAATAACATAGAGACGTTATACAATACATCGCGGAAAGTACTGGTCTAAATATTACAAGATTTGAAGACATATATAACTTATATTTTGGGCTAGCAACAGAAGAGGAATGGGTTTTGTACTACCACCTTGGACAAGAAAGGTTTGGCAAAGGTGATGGAGAGCTTGGCAGTTCATGAGTACTACGTTGCTCTGAAGACAGTGGAAATGAGACAGATGGCTGTTGGTTACTTTCTGGAAAAGGTAGATTGAATTGAAAAATATCTCAGTCATTATGCATTTCAAAAGGAGGACTACTTGGAAATCTTTGTAGCAGATTTGCAAACTTATCGTCGACGCGACGTGCTCTTCTCGGATATATACGTTGCTTGATATCGTGTATTATGACTGGTGCTCGAAACAACGTCAAACTACTCCCAAAAATATAAAAAAATTGTGCATTTTGAAAATAGTTTCAAGCTAACGTGATTTCAATTTCTCTAGCATACTGCGTAACACCGTATACGATTCAGAAGAAGCTAAAACTGGTTATTTATTATAAGTAATAGACGTCATCTTCACCTCCAGCAAGTGATGTGTTATTGACGCCTGCCATATGACGTTATCGGTATGTGGCATTAGGTCATTTCTTGATCAGTTTGTAACGTCATTTTCACGTGCTTGTGCTACTTGCGATATAGCGTACACTTGCCGTATGCATTAACGTCTCTTCAGTAATCAACAATCGAAAGCTAGTACTATCAAATTCAGCATCTGTACATTTTCAGAATAATAAAATAGAGGTTTGCGCAAGTTGTACTTTAGAAATCAATCGTCACAGTCTTTTTGTCATTTTTAAAACAATCCATTAAAATCTCTGACCGTAGTTGTCAGCTGATAGTAGGTAATACTTCAATTATTCGATCAATTTCATACAACTATTTTACAAATAGAAGCAACTTCAAAGTGCACACGTATGAAATGCAAGAAGGAGCTTGTCCGCACATTGCACGGCCAGTTTTAGCGACTTCAAACACCTAAAATTAGATCAATACTTCAGAAATGACTCAACTTCTGTGAAACATTCCAAAAAAAAACTTTTCAAAAGCAACATCTTATGCGATTACTAAAGACTTCCTTAACACATCCTGGAGGTAAAACAAATAAAATGAAAAATGAAAATTTTTACTTTTTTGTAAAATGTTTGCTTACACGTAATTGATTTTTTCTAGATATTAGAGACACAATGAAGAAAGTGAGCGCCACAACTTCAGCCAAGAAGTTGTTCTTGTATTCCGCCCATGAGAACAATCTTGCGGAGCTACTAATAGCACTTGGAGTATTTGAGTACCCCCACGTACCTACTTACGGATCTTTTATACTGCTGGAGGTACACAATATTAACGGAGTCCACGGAGTTAAGATTTTCTATGAAAATTACAGCGGATACGGCGTGAAGCTGTTGAAGATGCCCAATTGTGATGAATTTTGTCCACTGGACAAGTTCGTCCACTTGGTCACGGATCTGATACCCGATAAGTCGTTATGCGGAATATGAGCTGATATTCCCTAATAAAGTTTTGTTCAGTATTATTTGCTAATAAAAGCTTTAAAACCTGATAAGGTGTTTACTATATTCCAATGTTTGTACCTATAAAGAAATCATTGTCCTATTAAATAAACGAAACTATAGAGGGTGAACAAATTACTTTATTTCATTCGGTTTTATTTAATAGTAAGGACAATTTCGATCAGAGGAGACCAAATGACGAAAGGTAATCGAACCAGTAGCAAATAAAGTGATTGGACTAGGTCAGGAGGTATTTCACAGTGACTTCGTCACTTTGCTGATCACGTACCCTACAACTATAATAGGTAGTCGTTCAGTCTTTATTGTTTTTTGTGACGGATTGAGTATGAGCGAATTTACTGTCTCGCGAGAAAACGCTGGAGTCGTGATACAATAATTGAAAGAAACAGGAACTAGCTTTTGATGAACATCTATTCAATACGTCATTAGCTTTAAATTTAGAGCCCTTCAAAGTATCGAGTATGCCAAGTAGTGGTAGTACGACTACGATCCATCCACTGGTAACCAATATAATAAACAGCGATGTGATGTGCCAGTCGTTGATAGTTCATCCACGTGAGTGATATAGACAACATTCATGGCTCGGAATTAAACATACGAGGCCGAGACTCGAACCCGCGTGCCTCTACCGAGTACTCGGTGCATTGGAACACATCCTTGAGCACATAGCCCATAAAAAAGGCTACTCGGCAAGAGCCGCGTATTCATTACCGTGGCCTCTACCGGTTATATTCCTACCATATTCTAAGAGATCGTCAAAAAGGATGAAGTCTAGATCCACCGATGCTTTTATATTCCCATATCATATATTAAATGCATGATTATAAACTTAATAGGGCATAAAATTAAGCATCGAAATATTTTGAAAATTCTGAAATTTTTTAGATTATACGTTTTTAACAACTGTAAGATTTTTAAAATATGCAAAATTTTGGAAATATTGAGAAAAATTTCGAGAATTTGGATAATTTAGATAATTTTGAAGACTTTGAGGAGTTTACGAGTTTCTAAAATTTTGAAAACTTGTGAAACGAAAATGTTAAATCTTCAATTGCATTAATAATTGAGGGTCTCTCGAGGGTGCATTATTATTCGCTTAAAATCCAAGGTTGATCAACCCACAATCGACACTCAGCGCTCAAGCTTCGAATAAGGGCAGAAGCGCTGTCGTTGCTGTCACCTGGATGCGTACAGTGACATCGAGTTTTCTCGAAGTATCTGTATATCAAAGTAGCCCCTATAGGCACTTATGCATATATGACATGTTTTGTTCTATATGGATACTTAGCATTGAAAAAGTCACGTAGCTGTTACATCTGCGAATTAAAGAGTTGCCCAGCTAAACACTGATAAGAAGAAAAGGGTAGGAATCGGTTGTTAGAAATGTATATTTTCATCACAAAAGTTTACTAACCACATTCGGAATCATCATCTGGTATTAGATCTTGGTATAACTTGATAAATTTGTCCAAGGGACAAAGATCTTGACATGCTGGCAGTCTAACAAGGTTCAAAGATTCTGAGAGGTAATCCTGGTAAAACACCTGCAAATAAAAGCGATATAATCAGTATCAATATCATCAACAATAAAGTTTCAGTCAAGAAACAGCAGCATTTGTTTTTAATATAAACATAGATCTGAACAAAGTTCAGTTGAATAACGTCAAAGCCGCTCATTTAGATAACTAAGAAAATTGCACTGAGAAAGTTTCGCAATTCAGAGAATCTTCAGGTAGAACCGGGTTTTCCCAGAATCAACCATGTGTCTTTAGGAAGGCCATATTGAATTTTTGCATCAAGAATATATGTTTATTTAACACCCTTGGCGCTTTTACTTACTTTAAAAATTTCAGTATGTTAAAATTATACCGTTTTCAGTGTTCTCATTACCATGCCAGAATATTCAATATCACATCATTAAATATTACACATATAGAAATAGAGACTGTTTACCTATGCCCAATTCGTAAAAACTGAAGAAATGCTTGACTGTTCATAATAAAAAATTAAGTTAATGGTTGATGTCTGTTTTGAAACGGCGTATTGAAATTTTGATTACATTACCATGTAGAGGATAAGTAGTGGCAATGTTAATGCGCAATTTATATTGGAATCCCACCAATAAAGATAGTCAACGATTTTTGGAAAACATTGGCTTCTTCCTTCTGTCCGAAAATGCACTAATTTGCGAAACATTCTATGAACCATTTTGTCAGTTACCTAAAACTGCACCCATTTGATCGACTTCGTATCTTATTTGTTGTAATTTGTATATTTGATAATGGTTAGAGTTTGTATCAACCCTGATAAATGAACATAGCTTTACAGGATGTTTTTACCTTGACTCCATATTCATCGTCCTTTTTGTGTATTTCGAAGATGATGTATGACCCATAGTTCGGAACATGTAATGGCTGAAATATGTCTAAGAATAATAACAACCTCGCAATGTTTGACTCATGAGCTGAATATAGATAGATCTTCCTTCCACGCTTGTTTTCTAAGTCCTTTATTCTGTTTTGGGTATCTTCTATAATCTTCTTAATCAGGTATCCTGAATATAACCAAACAAATCTTACAATTAGAACACATAATTATTCACAGCATTTCTGATTGCTGTTCAAGATAGTAGCAAATGTCGCTTAAATTGATTAAAATGGATAGTTTAGTTTTGTTTATTTGTATCAAGCAAATGAAAAATATTTAAAGAAATTTAAAAAATGGCTAACATTATTCTTTATTTTTGGAAGGAAGCTTATCAACAAAATGTTTGCGGTACCTGTGCCCAATCGTTTTGAATTATCCGTTCCACTTCCGGTCAGATATTCTCTGATAGCCATTTCTCTAACCAAATCTGGAATACACCGATTCTGTCCATTTTGGCAACTTCAATCCAAACTCTTCTTCAGTCGTTAGAACGAAGTACAAGTTATAAACATCGTGAACGAGGTAAGGTTTAATCCCGTATTTTTATTCAGATCACCACGGTATCACTATATTTATTGAATTCGGCCTTAAACTTATCAGAAGATATTATTCTGTTGTACTCTTCGAGGTACTTTGGACATAGATGTCCTTGTAGTTCCTAAAACAAAATTCACGCCTTTGATAATATGGTGGTAAGATTCTGACTTTAGCCAAAAAGAAATAATGCTTTTATAACAGGTGTGGCCCAAGACCATTGATCAACGTATTCTACCTAGAGATAGTCAAACATTTATAGAGATACCCTGGCGTCGTCTATGAGAACTTGTCATAGCTGTATGTTCTGCTCTCCGCACTAATTAGGAATTTACTTGGAAAACGTGCAAAAATCGATTAAAAAAGTCTCTTTAAGCTCCCGTGCCCCTTTGGGATAGAAAAAGAAAATATTGCGGAAAGGAGAAACATGGCTGTGACAAATTCTCACGCTAGAGTATGACATTTCATCTTGGATAGTTTTGAACCAGAAATATGGTATATGATTGGCTATCTTCAGGTAGAATATGCTAATGAATGCTATAATTCCGCGACCGTAGTTCATCGCCAATACAAAGTCAAATATCTGGGGATCGTATTTGACAAGTCCCTCACCTGGAAAGCCCACATAGAAGCTGTCATCGCAAAGACCAGAGCAGCCATGGCTCAACTCTACCCATTACTGGGTAGACACAGCCGGATGTCGCTAGCGACCAAGCTACGGCTGATCAAGGCCATCGCCAGACCTCAGCTCGCTTACGCCTCCCGCGGTCTGGGGGTACGCTGCCCCCAGCTACCGCAAGCGACTTGCTGCTCTAGAAATGAAGCTACTCCGGATCGCCACCAGTGCACCATCCTACGTAAGAAACTCAACCTTGCGTAGAGACCTGCATTGGGACACCATCCACGAGTACATGAAGAAAAAAGCGGAGAAGACCTTCGAGAAAGCTCAGGACCACCCGAACGAGCAGCTACGATTCCTCATGGACTACGATCCGGACGAGATGCCTCGCAACCGCAAAACCAGGTACCCCAGACCAAGGTCCCAGTTGGCACCCGCTAACTGGAACCTTGACTAGGAGACTAGGAGAACTCGCGGTTGCTCCCCCCCCCCCACGGCGTGGATGCAGAGGACCAGGAACCACCAGACCCACCGGGACCAGGACCAACCAGGACCAGGACCCGCCACGACCAGGACCCACCAGGACCAGGACCCTTCAGGACCAGGACCAGGAACAACATATTGGTAAGAGACTTGAAACTCTTGATTTTTCGAAAACAAGAGTTTCAAGAGAACTAGCAGACCCTCTATCGATGATCGCTTAACGACATCGATAGAATGTGCGAGGTAAAGGGAACCAACCCGGCGTTCCCAGAGACTGAAACACATGAGGAGACGTTGTAGCAGACCGCAGGTCACGCACAACACATGGCCTACCGAGACGCTGATGAGTCGGGCCACGCGGAGGTTTAGGGTTTAGTGGGTATTAGGTGATCTCCTCAAGACCCTGGAGCCCACACACGTCGTAGCGTGCTATGGTATGGTGCGTAAATGCATTCCCCCCTCGTTAAAAAAAAAAAAAAAAAAAAAAAAAAAAAAAAAAAAAAAAAACTGAATCTTAAACATCAACATTAAGCTCGGAATGGTGGAGTGTAACCTATATCGTATTTTTCAACTCAACCTAAAAAAAGGCGCACCAGTACTATGTCCCTATTGATAAACCTATAATTCACTTTAAGCATAACAACTGAACAAAAATGTCCATATCTATAAATTAAAAAAATATACTCATAATCCATTGCACTAGCACCTTATTACACTAACAATATAGGATTACCTGCACCAGCACACTTTTCTAGCCACAACAATAAAAAAATGTTTATATCTACTGACATAAATGAAAAACAGTTTATGAAAAAGTAATAATAAGGTAGCAATACCAACAAATCTTTTGATTTGTTATCCATACAAAGTATCCCAACTAATATATTTTCCAGTTAGTTCGTGTCGCTTAGTCGGAGTTATAATTTAACATATTAAGTATGTTTTCATCCAGTCTGAGAAACCTTAATGATGATAATAGAATAGAACCAGGAGAAGTCCGAAAGCACAACCAGAGTCAACAACTTGGACGATTTTATATTTCATACAATATGTCGTTCAGCTTCTTCTTGAAATTTATACGAGAGAGCCATACAATTCATTAGGAAGTTATATAATTTAGCAGCATCGTACGAACAGCTTCTCTTATATGTAGAGAGCTGGTATAACCATTCTCCTGTTTCTACTGTTAACACGCTAATGCTCTCAAATTTGGATAGTTTACATACAAGATTGTGAACTAAGGATAAAAATATAGTTTCCTGGGTTCATGTAATTCCAGCTTATTCTCTTTATAAACGTGACTTAGATGGTCGTACTTTCTAATATCAAATGAAACGAATACATGAATTTTGCAGTATTTTTCAATTTCGCATAATCACTTTTTAGCAGTGCAAGTCTGTAGTTGCTATCACAAGTAGGCAGAAAAGCAAATTTTATTGACATCAATATCCATCCACAGATCCACCGCTTCTAATGGAGTGTCATTAATTGACAACTTAAGGCTCGCTCGGGAATAATTCTTCTTACTTTTAGCATTATTTTTGATTTGTTAGCATTCAAACTCACATTATGGGCGGCTGA